CGAATCGTTTGTAAAAGAGAATTGCCGCGACGCCGACGTGAGATCGTAACGCGGGCCCGAATCGCGAGGCGACTCAAACTCGAACCGACTCAGTTCGACTTATTAAAAAGTCAGATCGATTCGACGACTTCAAGCGTCACGTCGACTCAGTCGACTTACACAAGTCGACACGCCCATCGCTACCTAGTTGGTTTCATGCCTTAGTTATATATTCTTTTAATTGTTAACATAATTGTGTTTATTGAAACTAAATAAATATTCATTGATTAATTCAGTGTGGAGTGATTAATAATATTATGACTATGATTAATTTTGACTACAGCTAAAGGATATCTTTATTTTTAATACGAAAAAATCTTGTGTTATCTCTCCCCTACGTGTTAGTGTAGGGGAGAGTCCTACACTAACGGCCGGCACCCTGTACTGGCCAGTTGCAATTTACATAAACAAAAATTTTAACAAAAGAAACGCAAAAACTATTTTAAAACAAATTAATATGCGCTAAAAATTAAAAAAAAATCAAATATTCTTCTACAACTTAATAATCAACTTCTCTTTCTACTCATCCATATGTAGGTACGATCTAAGTTGTTTACTACTTAAAAGTCAATAAAATTATTTCAATAGTATAATGTGCCTAGTTACATTTCTTGTTATTTTTGGAGTCGTATCAGCGAGGGTAGGCTTGTAACTACATACATGGTTATAGAATATAATATGTGCTCCTGTCGCCCGCGCAAGATAACGAGGCGATAGGCGGGAGCGGGGCCGCGGTCGCAAGGAGCTGCACCGACCAAAAAGACCACCGACCTAAAAGACCAAAAATAGCAATTAAAGTAACTACATTATATTATCGTAATAATTTGATTGACTTTTAAGTAGTATCATCACATCGTACTTACATATTGATGAGTAGAAAAACTAAGTTGACTTTTTAGTTGTGGAAGAATACTTAATTTTTTTTTGTATTTGAATTGCATTTTAATTTGTTCCGAAATAGTTTTTATTTGTTAAATATTTTGTTTATTCTTTGATTTTTAGCTAATGTGAAGTACACTCATTAATTTGTCCGAATATGGGTGTGCAATACAGCGACGAATTAAAGCGCATTGCAATTTGATTACAGACAAATAGAAATTCTGCTCCAAATCACACCCCTAAGAGATTCTGCCGAGTACCGTTAATTTGCTCCTAAGAATCGAAAAGTTCCGTTAGTTTGTCATGGATACTATAATCAGAATCTAAGTAAATTCTTATCCAACCACCCTTGAAGTTCATCCTATCCAATAAAAAAAGAATCATCGAAATCGCTTTGCGTGACATTGAGTTATTCATCCATTTGTCGCGCATACTTTAGCAAATTTAAGACAATGACAAAGACAATGGTTTTCTCATGGTTGCCTGCCATTGTCAGAGCTGGACCAAATGGCAGCACCAGCTTTCAAATAAAAAAAGAAAGGTAACAAACATAAAAAATACAGTCGAATTGAGAACCTCCTCCTTTTTTGAAGTCGGTTAAAATACTACAATAGAACTGCTGAGACGGTTATCGCCATTTGATAGCTTTTTTGTTAAAAAAAAACATTGCCCTTACTTTGGGATAACATTATCCTGTGTTGTAAGGACGTTTTAATTTGACGCGGAAAAACACCCAGATGCGGAACAACTATCTGTGGGTCACACAAATAGTTGTTCCGTGTGGGAATCGAACCCACGACCCCCGACGCCGAAGTCGATACCTTGGCGACTGCGCCACGGAGTCATCAATAGGTTCATTTGTGTTGGGCGTGGTGAACGTATCACACACAAGTCAAACCAGACATGTATTGGCCATTTATATGGGTATAATAAAAATGTTCTAATTCGAACTCTATGCATATATTTATCTGTGGTAAAACATTATATTTGATTCCGTGTCTTACAGTACCGGGCAAAAAACTGTGCTTCAGTAGTGGCCATTGTTTAAGTTCATTTTTGAGAGTTTTTAAACAGAGAGTAATTCCTTTATCTCGGTGTCCGAATTAGTGGAAAATGACTTTATCAATTCAGTAAGGAGAAGATGTCAGCAAATACGGCAAAAAAATAAATAAAACGGAACCACAACCTTCCCACAGCTCGATTCAACAAGAGACAATTTGCGCCAACTGCTTTTAATTTCATGAGATTATTGGATACAATGTGAAAAATGCAACATTTTGCACAAATGCAACAAGGCCCATGAGACTTGGCAAATGTATCAGAGCTGTCAAACCAATATATTTGCGATTATTGCCTTTTATAAAGTACTGGACTAGCTCCCTGATGTATCTCCGGAATACAAGGTCCAATAAACATGAAAATATATTCTAGCTGAACCGAACACAATGCAAGAAGATTTTTTAAAATTCGTTAATTACCGACGGACTTCTGATGTAGCAAACTTAAAAATAAAACGGAATATGAACCTCCAGGCCGAAGATACGAACAGCGCAAAAGAATTCACTGAAGCTCGAAGCCATATGAACATTTATCCGCGCAGTGTCATTAACATTCGGACATGGGGTTTGATCCATTTCCTTTGTAAATGTAATATTTCCACAAAAGATAACAAGATTTATAAGCAACAAACAATTGCATTAATACTTCACTGACTACTGCTGTTTATTAACGAGCTAAAACTTACAAAATCAGATCTATATTTTGCAAGTTCTTTACTTTGCAAATAAGTACATCTCATACGTTTTAACTCAGTTTGTTTAAGGGTATTTTTATTCTGTTTGCCTGGAAGCAGTACAAACATAATAAACATTATACTTCTACGATATAAAGTATAATAAAAGAATGGACGCACATTATTAAGTGAATTGAAGATCTTCTGTGTGTGGTGTTTGTGTGGCGTCATAATAATACACAACGGCAACGACATAATAGTAAACGATATTTTGCCACAGTATCCGTAAAAATTATACATCCCGCATATAGGACACATGATTTTGCAGGCGTAAATTTTTGTGCGCTGGTTAAGTTATAGTTTTATTTTCGTTTCATCGGGGACAAAGGAAAGTTACAGGTCGTTAAAGATAATGAAAGCGCATAATTCAACGACGACATTTTTACTAACGAAACATAAAGCTACCTCTCTCACTTTTACATGTAACTCCCGAGTCCAAGGTTCAATATCATCATCGTCAGGCGGAAAACGTCCACTGTTGGACGAAGGAATAGAACCGCCCTTAGAATAATTTTTCAATCGGCTCTTAAGTTACGGAGCTTAATGAAAAACATAAAAAGGTTGAGAGTGAATGCAACCATTGAACGCCCATTGAAACCCTGACGATCCAATTCGCGTATTTAGATTTCGAACAGAAAGAGGGGGAACAATCAAACGAACGGGCGGTAGACTCAAGTTATTCTAATTCTTGCTTAATCAAATACATGACAAATTGATAGATTTCGATACTTAGCCGTCCAGGCAAGACTTTCTTTCTTTATTAATACGGACACAAACACACAGTTTCTCGCTCCATCTATTAACACCTATCTTTTTTTTATCACACAGAACACACAAGCATGCCAAGTAAAAGTAATTTGTTTTAAAATAATTTTATTATTTATGTGTGGCGTTTCTCATTTTTAGTCAAATATTCTTGTTGTTTTTTGTAAATTTTATTGTATTTTATATAAATTCTTTACGATTATTACGTTGGGCCATCTATCTCTTTCCCCGAACCTTCCACTGAAAATCAGCATTCACGAAGGTTGTCAACTTTGTTATATGAAGCTGATTGGTGATCATTTTGGTTCATTTTAATTATAGGTATTTAATTTTTAGTATCTATTGTATCTCTTATCCTTTAAACGAGCAATTCTTGTGTATATATATAATGGCTCCAGCGATTTTCATGAAATTTAGTATGTGCGTAGATTCGGGGGCGAAAAATCGATCTAGCTAGGTTTCATTTTTAGAAAATGTCCTTTTATCCCTGTTTTCAGGAAATGAAAAATATCATTCGAATATGACGGTAAATCGCGCGGCCCCAAAACAGACGGCCGTGGTTCGTGTCACGATCATTTACACACTCTTTTTTTCCTTTATTTTTCGATTCCACATCATTGCTTTCTTTATTTTTTATTTTTTGTTGCGGTTTTTTTATTAGAGTGATTCTAGAGAAATGTTTATACGTATAATACCCAATCCTTCTAATATTCGTTAGACACGTTAATTTTGGGGGATAAAGGTCATTGGAGACCTTTGTACATGGGTTAACTTATTTAATGTGTTTTCTTCAAATAATGGTAAAGCCTAAAGATATTTATGAACAAGCCTAAGGTAGATATTATTATCCATAATTTATATTAGGTGATTGTAATTGTATTTTATAGCTAGCTGAAGCTTATTTAATGAAAAATGATGAGTGTAATTCTATTATAGCTGCGTTATCATTAATTTAACATTCATATTTTTAAATGTTTTATAGTATTTTTATAATGAAAATTATTTGTCAACTCTCGTAAGGAAATAAAATTTTTTTTTGAAACAATTCTATGCGTGTAATGAATGTGTAGCTGATGTTGTCAATGACTAGTGACTTCACAGGTCTAATTAGAATACGGTTTTCATTGACGTATCTCTTTAAAAAAATTACACCACCGTTGGCCGAGATTATCGAGTGCAGGCGGACGCGCGTCTAAAATTCAATTCCGAATACATTAATCGGCAACAAGCCGATTAATTAAATAGATCGATTGCTTCACAGCGGCGATGTACCAATCATCAGGGCACTGCAGGCCTATCGGGTCACACACGCGTCATCAGCGCTTAACTCGACCATCCGATAATTGAAAATGGGATTGACCGTAGCCGGCTCGCGGGGGCTGCCGCGTGGCGATAATGCCGCGGATTTAAAAGTTCACAGACGCTTAGCGTAATAGCTTGCACTGTAAGTTTCACTAGTAAATGGCGGCCTAAACATAGTGTGTTCCCGCTGGGTAGTCAACGTGAAAGTGAAGTATTTACGGCTATGCATTTCGCCTGGTGCCTATGGAAACCGGATGCCCACAATCTTACCGGTTGGCAATACGCCAGCACCGTGTCTGTTGCTGTGGGTGTCCACCAGCGGCGGTATCACGTAGGTACCGCCAGGCGAACCGTTTACATAGTTGGAAATCTATCAAATAAATAAAAAAAAAAACTTATCTGTACCCTTTGAATTAGGTTACTAAGAACATAAAATATTTTCGTATTTATGTTTTAACACCCATTTTACATTAGATACGCGGCCTGCTTCGTTTATCACTTACACTAACACAAATTATTTCGTTGTCTGGTTTGCCCGTATTTGGCTCAGTGCGCACCATGACGTCAGCGGTCGACAGCCCAGAAGACGAGGGACTTCATTGTGCGATTGCCGACAGAGGTGCTGCCGCGAACGTCTTGGTGTTAATCGAGCCCCGATGTAACTGAATATCTAGAGCCAGAGCGTTAGTCAGTGAGCCTGTGAACTGGCCATTATCTACCAGTTCTATTTGACCAACAGAAGCACGCGCCGAATCGCGTATTGTTATCGCACGGCACGTTCCGAAATTGTGAACGGGCGGCGTGATTCGTTTAACGTTGTATCCAATCGGGCGTTTGTTTAACGCAATGCCAAGTGTAACTGTACGGTTTCATCCAATTACAGCTAGGATTTCGCGGGGTTTTGATTAATCAGTGCCTACTGCGAGATTTGTCTTTGTCGGTTGTTTTATCGTACCTTTGGCCCTAAAGGATGGCTTTTGATCTGTATGGATCTTGCACAATAATATTTTCAATTGATTTATACTTAATATGCGCTTGGAATAATTATACAATTATATACTAACATTTTTAAACTTGTGATATCTTTCGAATGGAAAGTCCGAATTATATAATTCAAAAATTTATATAAAGATATTGAAATAGTCTTGAATATTAAATAATTTTTTACGCTATTGCATAGCTTTTATCGCGGGCTTTGAGCGCGGCGATTCGAATCAAGAAATTTTTAAATTCGGAAATGCCATTCAAAAGATATCACAAGTTTAAAAATGTTAGTATATTGTAATTTAACTATCCAAACAGCTTAATGACCGACCTAGTAGTTCTTATCATTTTTGTAAATAATATAAATAAATTATAATTAATTAAAATATATATTAATAATTATATTATTTTTTATTAATATGAATGTCAAAGAAAAAAAAATACTGCATAAAAAATTATAATTGCATAAATTGATAAAATATGCTATACAATAGCTTTACCGCGGCAGTCCCCGAGTGCCACAGTTTATATTTTTATATTCATATTAACACCTAACGCATAATTTCGACAACTTATCTAAAGACGACTTGGCCTATCGGTTCTGTAAATTCAACGTTATTTTTTATAATATAATATACCTAGATCAGGTTCAAATCAAGGTTGTTATACTTTTTGTCGGTTGTATTTTTTGAAAATATTTTATTTTCATAAATATAATTATAAAGAAATATTATTGAATTTGTGTAAATTGAAAGAAATAGTGTCGTAAAATCACTAAGTAAAGAGACAACATTTTTTTATTACATTATAAAACTTTTAGCGGATCCGGAAAACGTGGGTTCGATTACTGCAGTGCCAGTGGCGTAAAATTTTTCGACCCTTTTTCAAAAAAAAATAAAATTATTCATTATATAAAAATTTAAAAAATTGTTCTAATACTATTGTTTTTGTGTTTAAACGTGGAAAAATTACAGTATAAAAGAGAAAAACATTAGTGGTTTTTAAAGTTTTCATTTTATTGTTCATTTTCTATATAGGATCCCTCGTGAGTATTACATTATTTCTCGCTTATGTTTTTTTGGAATTAAAGTAGTTGAAGAAAATATAAATATTCCAAAATACAAAAAAACCCGTAAAGGAGGTTTGAACTCGGTAACTACAACAATTACTGTCTACGACCCCGACTCCCGGATACTTTTAGAATTTAATCGATGATGACAAAATGTCGGTTCGATAGCATTGTTATCATTTATCGATGTAATTAATTTTTATCGACAGTTTATTAATTAATATTATATGAAGTAGTAAGTCAATCGTAAAATTTAAAGGCTGAAATGAAAATGCCCGATAAATAAAGAGCATACATAATAACAATTATTATTATAAAAGAAAAGCAATTGGTAGATTCCACTTATTCGTAATTTTGTTGCGGAGAGTTTAGGAAATAGCTAATTTTTTTTAATAAAACATTGGCTGAGCCTGGCCGCGCTTCGCCATGGTTTTTTTTTTCGTTTCTGTTGAAACGTCCGAGTAAAAAGTAAATATAAACACTCCTGTTCGATAGCTACGTTGTGAACAAACATCAAATCAATCCATCGGGTAATTTTTTTGATTTGTGGACACAAACATATAAAAGAAAATGAACATATATAAACATTATTCTTAAATCGAACTATGTATTTATGATTGTTCGGTTATTTATTGTTTTTGTTTATGCAACGTTATATGTTTTTAATAGTTTAAAATAATGAAATTAGCAAGAACAAGAATTTGTAACTTTTAAATTTTCGATTGCTTACATATGTTTTATATTTATTTGCTTATTGTCGTCTCTATAACTATAAAAAAGTAAACTACTATTGTGGCCTCATAAAACGTATAAAGAACATAATTATGTGTATATTTCTCCTTAATCCTCATTATCGATAACATCTCACGGTCCAACACTATAGATATCGAATGAACTTCGCGCGTCTCTTCCAACCGTCCTCCGTTTTCCTTGATTCACCATCCAAATGCCTAAAAGTTCACTGCATACAACGTCTTAACGTTAACGAGTTTATCGTAAGAAGCTATGCTACACGACATTATCTTATCCATACACTAGCGACCCGCCACGGCTTACTTACTACGGGTTAATGTATTATAGATATAAACCTTCCTCTTGAATCACTCTATCTAGTAAAAATCCGCATCAAGATCCGTTACGTAGTTTTAATAATCTAAGCATACATAGGGCATTCAGACAGCGGGGCGACTTTGTTTTATTCTACGTACGTAGTGACATATTGACACACTGTACCGGTATAAATAGCTCTCTTAACTATAACTTTGAACCTTTGAATATTTAAGAGAATTAACTGGTTATTTTAAACTCACGAACAGTACTTGCGCAGTGGGAATATACATCATCATAACCCGTTCTCTCTTTCTAACTAGTCAGAAACGGAAGTTTGGGTTAAGCGAGGTAAAGTATCCAGAGGTCAGTTTCGAAGCGATAACGCAATAAATAATCTATCTATAATCTAATAAAAATAAATTTTATGTACATATATTGAGCATTGTTTCAAAGGCAACTAAGAAAACTACCCTTTTATACACCGACGATTTTTTTAGGAACGGTAGAACAGAAAGCAAAGTCTAAATTTGCCCATATCTTTTTATCCTGTTGACTCAGAATTTTTATACACCTAATAAGTACTGAGGTACAGTATCTGGTATAAATTTCAACTTACAAGGTCCACCCGTGAAAAAATCGGTGATGATACACGGCCAGACAGACGGACAAAAGAGTGACCTTATAAGGGTTCCATTTTAAGGTTTTAAGGTACGGAATTCTAAAAAGAATAAAAAGTCGAAAAATGTAATATATAAAATCGTAGTAGAATCGTAATCGTAGTCGAGCAAGGCAAAAAAAAGTAAAATACAATTACCTTTTCGAAACTATTTTAAAGAACAATAACGCAAGAAACAGTAGCCGAACCGAAACGTAAAAATATATTTTCGTAGCATTTTTTTTACACATTTATGAGAACGATCCCGAAAAAAATGTTAATTTTTATTAAACGGTTTTATTTATCTCGACCCGTACGGAATTTGTTAAATTAAATAATGGTCGCAGCTGGAATATTTAGAAATAGCTTGACGTATGAATATTATATTGCTGCGCCTTATACCCTGTTATCAGGGTCTATGTTGGACTAAATTCAATTAATGTAACATATTTTAATCGTAACACACATGAGTGGCACAAAAGATTTAATTTAATTTTATGACGCAGCTACCGTCTCTCAGTGAACTACATTAAATAAATTTCTTTATTCACTTGAGACTCGTTTCTGGCTATAAGTTGAGGCTATTTTTTTAAAGTCACTTAACATTTTATTAACTAACCCTTAACATAAATTTTAGTCCCTTAACATAAATTTTAGAAAACCGTACAGAGGGCTAATGAGGTAATCTATCTATGAGGCAATATGTGTATTTATTATGCAGCTATTATTAATGGCATGCCATAATACACAGATCTCGCTATACATTATATTAACAAATTTCAGAAGCTAGAACAATATTATATAGGGAGATTTTTTGAGAAGTGCCCAAATTTACATAGGAGGTTCAGACTCGGTAGTATAATCGTTTATTGAAATAAAAAACAAAGTTTTTTTTTCCAAAAAAATGGCATTCTATTCCGTGAAACAGAAAAACAGAAAGTGTTGACAATGCGGTAGTCATTCAAAAATACCTAAATTTTACTGTGCACGAACTTGCGTGCGTGTTAGTTATGAATGATCGCGCGTAAAATAAAAGAGTTGCGTATAAATCACACACTTTTTGAGATAAGTTCAAATGCATATAAGTAATTACTTACGAGTGATTTTAAATATTTATCATGTTGTATATAACATTATTTATGTCTAGAATTTAATAAAAAAAATGGATATACTTAGAAAAGCCACCCTGTATATAGCAACACGATACTGTGCACAGGAGGCACTTTTGTACGAGTATTACATGCCACTGCATATTTCTCTTTTAATAATGTAATATTAACGTAAGTATATCGCAACAACCTTAGGGAGTTCCAGCAAATGTTTGATATAAATAACTCGTACATTTTTTGTCTAAATACATCTTAACCGTCTTCAGGACGTACCTGATATTTTCTATGGTCACATTTCAGCTGCATGGTAGGCAGTTGGCGTAAAAGGGCACAAAACTTCACAATACAAAAAAGGGAAAAAGAATGGGAAAAAAGAAAGGGAATTACCAGAACCAACGAAAACGAACCAAAAAGAAAACACGAACGGGTATTCGTTAGAGATTTAAATATTTGTACGTGGGTCACACTGAAAGTTCTTAGAGAATCATGAAACGGCTCTAAAATGTTGGCAATACTTTTATTTATTATAAATTATTTGATTTGGTCGCAGGGTGCTAGATAGTAACTACATAGCGGATGATTTAATATGTCAACACCTGCCATAGTCAAATATTCAATTGTTCCGTATAGGAAGTCCATCTGCTACAAACCATACGGACATTTCTTCTTAACCTATACCAATGCCTAAGCCTAAGCTTGACCGAATCTGCAGGTAGGGCACTCTCTTCTTCACAGCACTGATATTATCTCCAGATGTTGCGCTTGAAGGACGACGCATGTCATTAAACTAATTGTAAACAATGGCACAGGATAGGGATTCATTATTAAATGCCTATCGAAGTCTATCATAGCTCTTTTGTTGAGTTAGACCACAAAGAAAGAACCACAAGTAAAGAGTTCTATTTTCAATAGTTTTCAATGGCGATGTTTTTAACTGGCTACTTCTAAAAACTTTCAGTGTCTTTTTTTATGTGAAAAAGTGGCAAACAAGCCACAAAGCACAAGCCATTCGCCTGATGTTAAATGATAACCATTGACATTTGCAACACTCGTAGGATTGCAGACGTGTTGCCACCTTACGATACGCAGAAGTATAATACTCCCACATCCCGCCGGTCTTCTGTGACGTCGTGGTTCTTACCCGGACCTGCCCATTCGTGCAACAACGAGGACTGTTGCCTGGTCCTACCTAATAAATGTTTAGTTGAGTACTTTTCAGTCTGTTCTTTTAATTAACGTTTTCGCCACGGAATTATATAATTCAAAACAATAGTTCCACTAAGCCTAAGAAACACTATTCGTTAACAAAGAACGCAGAGTCTCATTATTAAATTGAGTGCATTATAAAATTAGAATACGCAGCCGGAGTTTTAATACAGAAGTGGTTACGTTTCAGAACCAAATGTCGCAAGCGTAGTTAAGTTTTGACAGTAGAATGAGAGTTCCAGCAATTGGCTTTTTATTGTGCAAAATATGACTTTAACATTAAACTCACAAGGTTTTTTACGATTCAGTCGCTTGTGTACAGGTGCGTTTTGTTTCTAGCGGTGGAAAAAATAATGTTTAAAAAATAACTGCAGACTTTTTAAGAGAAACTTCTGGACGTTATGAGGTTATACGGGCCTTGGCATACGAAATGTGCACTTCGGAAAGTTCGTTAGTACGTGATTATAATGCAGTGACATATTTTATGTTTCATATGTTATTTGGGCGCCATCTTTGAAACTAGCTAAGATGGCTTATTACGCGCCATTAGAGTGGCGATCGTCGAGACATCCTATGTGGGACGAGGTTTTTCGTAAACCCGTATGATTCGTAATGTTGGCGTAACTTTGAACAATTTATAAAGCTTCGTGAGGTAACATAATTTGTCAGTCGAATGGAACGTGATAAATCTGAGTTATGAATTGAATCAATAACTTATATCCTAAAGATATTTTGTAAATTAAAATAATCAAATATAGAAAATATGTACCTACATTTTAGCACAAGCGGATCTTTCGACAATATTTAAAATTGACAAGAATATTACAGAATGAGACCAATACTAATAATAGAAAATAAGACATTTAGAAACAAAGGAAACACTTGCCAAAAGTTACCCTATGGCTGAAAGTGAGTTAATTAATAGGATCATTTACTCTAATCTATTTCAAATTTAATGGGATTAGTTATTCAGTGTAATTAAACATCACACAAATGCTAAAAAAAGGAACAAAATTTAATTAATATTAAATAAAATATTAAAATTAGCTGATCATATTAAAATTATTATTATATGATGGTGAGTAACCTAATGCAAACATTTATATTTAGCTTTGGCAAGAATAAAATTGAAAAAAAGGATACTCTAAAAAAATATCTCTACTTTTTTTGTTTAATATACAATAAGTACATTACAAAATATACTAATGATAATAGCCAAAGAAACTTTTTTATGTTATGGTATTAATGTTATTACAATATTATTCTTGAGACTAATGCTTTACCAAATATTTTCTATAAAAGTATTTTTTCAAACACAAAATATACAAAACAAAAATAAACAACAAATATACAAATGAATTAAATAATAAGATATGTTAGAAAATTTAATATGTAATAAATATATTATAAATTTACAAAAATATATTAAGGCATGAAATTTATAATTATATACTTATATGTACTCTACTTATAATTAACTTTATTGTATACTTAATTTGAAATGGTTTTTAAAAAATTGCATAAAACTATATTTCTTTACGAAAATAAGTTTTACTAACTCTTCAACACGAATAAAAACTGATATAATACATTGTTTCTAAGTTTTAAAGTCAAAACAACGTAAAATAAAGTAAATACGTGATATAGAAACTTTTCATATAGTAGATCTGTCATTGGTTGTTTGTTTACACGGGACGCGTGCACAACAAGTTTGTAACATGACCAATTTATAACCAAATAAAGTTATGAAACTTATCAACTTTTACGTTCTAACCTTAATTACTTAAAAAAAATTAAAAATAAGTAATTTTCTCTTTATATATTAGTAAAAACGTAATGATTAGAACTTATTAAGGTTATGTACTATTTACTTTACTTTTGACGCATAAACTCGCCAAAAACTTCGCGAAAACTCCGCAAGATTAGTAAACAATGAATATTTTTAATTAGATGCTACTAATGGCGCATAATTATAACTCACCTCGGACGTGATATGATGCCATCCACTTGCGGAGTCACTAGAAAATGAACCACTTGTAATCAGCAGGCCACTATCTTCACTCAACGGTGGTGCTTCAGAGTGTGTAGAGAAGGAAGGCGGTGACTCCATCACCCCAAAAACAGTAGATTACAAAAATACTCTGACGACAACATAAGTTAGGCACTTTAAATTACGACGATTTTAAAAATAAGAAATTTACTAATATCTATTGCAACATTCAGCACAAAATTTTCTGTCTCACTCGCTATACATCCATGGTGCAATTCTTTAGGTTTTTTTCTACAACTTAAGTGAAGAAACTTTTGAATCAAAGGTAACTGTGTCATGCGTTGTTACGTAGAAAAAATATTATTTATTCTACCAGTAATATTACCTAAAACTGTTTTATGAAGTATTATAAATGATGTGTTGTTTGTGTTATGTTATTATAATATTATTTTTGATATTAGTAGGCAAAAAAATTTTTGATTAAGAAAGACCTTGAAAGAAAGTTTAAATAAGGTTTTGAATTTTTTTCCGTAATTTTGTAATTGAACTTTATGTTATAATATATTATGTTTTATAATATATTCTCTTGGAATTACATAGAAAAAATTGTTATGAATTAATAACTGTTTCTGGAATAGCAAGAATAATATATTTGTATAGTCCGTGATTTAGATTCTTTGCCCCTTTTGCATTTTAAAAAGTTGGCTTAGAACATAATGGTTGGTGTTGGTTGGTCTAACTTTAGTTTGTTATGTCAATTCTCAAGTGTCAACTTTGATTCTATCAGTTTCTTTCGTAGTTCTTAATAATTGTAATTTAAACATTGTAAAACTGGGGATATATTATGTTTTTCATAACAATATTATATGTAACATTAGTATTATATATTTAAATATAGTGATGAATGTTTTATAACTTGTCTACAATTTAAACGTAAAATGGCTGAATCTCAAGTTGCGAATATCGTTAACGAAATATTGGTAAGTTACGCTACTCAGTGCACGTTCAAGAGCTTATGTTTCTGAGAGTTTTAATATCATCCTTTTGCCTTAGCGAGTGGAAGCGGTGGAGGAAGCTTTTAGTTGTTTTCTCGTGAACAAGCCGGAACAAGAAAATGAGAGGTTAGCAATGTATCAGAAAAAACTTTGCGCTGTCATGACAACCCTCAGTGCGGATATGCAGGAATCTGCAATCCGACAGTATCTTACACTAACTGCAATTTTGACAAATCGGTACAAAATGAAACAGCTGTTAACCCTCATGGAGAATTTGGTGAACACTAATATCTTGCAAGCACGGTTCGTATAGTTCTTTAGCTTTTATTACATATATACTAAGTTTTATTGTAAGTCCAAGTTGTTTGTGCTGTTAAACACATCACTAATCAGAATTAAATATTTATATACTATATCTGTGACATGATGTATAAGTAAAAAAAGTCTATCAACACTGAGGCTCTCTTGGTCAGTGTAACCAATTGTCTATTGTTCAGTAAGGAAATAAAAGTAACCAACAAATACTGTAGGCTGAATCAGCCTAAATATCTGTTTGTTAAGTCCCAACTGATCTTTGAAGGGTTCGGCATAATAATGAAACATATGGCTAGTAGAAATGACTGCGTTTCCTGAGCCCAGCCTACTGCCTAACAATAAGTACACTGTCCTTGGGAACAATGATCCAGTTCTGACACAATTTTTTGATAGTCAAAAAATACTGTTGTGTGAAATGAATCAACAACCCTAAGTTATGTATTCAACAAATCATGATTTAATAAAACAGCTTTTTCTGTCATAAAATGCTTCCTTAGTAACGGGCTTGTAAAATTTTAATTTTTTTTCCCCTCACATCAAAATTTTTTAAAGTTTATGTCCTAGGCTTAACGCCGCTGCTGGTGACAAGAGAGCTGGTTCTTTTCTCGCTCAAAGGTTAAGCGTAACTATTCAGTGAGGAAATGCAGCTAGCGTTCTTGGTACCATGCTGAGTGGATTAGGTTTATTAGATAATATGTAATTTTAGATTTAGATAGATTTACGGCCGGAACACTGATCATCGTAGATGTCAAATAATCAGAGGTCAAATGGTTTACAAATTTCATTTTAGTTGCCAAAAGGATGCTTAAGCTCTTTGGATTGATCATTCTGATCATTAGAAGATCATTCTGGTCAATTCAGAGAGTTTAACCGTCGTTTTGGCAATTGAAACTAAATTTTAAAAGCCATTCGACGGCTAATTAGTTGACATCTACGATGATCAGTTTTTCAGAAACCGGGCGTTTATCTTGTAAATATTCGATCAATAAAGATTTTAATATCATATCCGTAACTACAAAAAACAAATTAAAATGAATACTAAAATATTAATTTAAAATAAGACAGCTATGTACTTTTCCAAGCAGTATTCTTCCTTCCAGCATAGGTTGTTAGACATGACACAATGTTCCTGCAGTAATACATATGCAAGTGGAATATTGATCGCCTTTGTTGTACTGAATGTCAGAAATTTGAATTTAAAGTAAAACACTTATCTGTATAATCTGTACATTTAAAGATATTATACTCGCTTTCTTCTTTTTAAGTGTGTATTCAGCCATCTATCTTAATCAGTTAGGAAATAAAACTGAAGTCATCCATATTTATTTTTAGTTTCATTGCATAATTGAACCATAAATTGTACATAGTATTGTAATATGTAATTATAAACCTATAATCAAAGTAATATCGGTCTATGGTGGTAGGGCCACACAGCAGCCTCGGCTGTTGCCTGAGTGAGCAGGCTCGTCCGGGTAAGTACCACGACCTCACAGAAGACCGGGCGTAAAGTGGAAGCATAATGCTTTCGCGTTTCGTCTGGTGAATGAGGTGTCCGGAGCCCAATTTTCAAAAGGTTGTCAAAGCACCCACAACCCTTGGGTGTAGCGGATGTCCATGGGCGGTGGTATTCACTTAACATCAGGTGAACCGTCTGCTCGCTTGGCAACTTTTCACATAAAAAAAAATATTTTATAGCATTAAATGAAAAAGAATTCTTATTAAAATTATTTTGAACAGAATGTTGTGCGACTGTATCCTAACCAGTGAGAAACTGGTATATCAAAATTGTGATTATTGGATAGAGTGCTTTAGTTTAATCAGAAGGATCATTGGAGGAGTTGATTACAAAGGGGTCAGAGAAATTATGAAGGTAAATGAATTTTAAGCTTAATTTACAGTAATATGTGCATTAGAAAGGGTTATTGGATTTGCATTCACCCTCTTAGAGCAACTGCTTTGTACTTAATTCAATATCTATATGATTATATGATACCTACACACAATGTTATCATGTCATTAAAAGATGCAGTATTTTTAATTTACTTTGAGATATAAAGCTAAAACTATCAGGCGGTATAAAATTGACTGAAATTTGTAGAAGAATAATTGATGATTATGCTAATTAAATAGCTGTAAAGTTGTGCTCAATTTCAATGTTATATAACTTTTTTGGACTAATAAGAAATGAAAGTCGTTAAAATTATGAGTTTGTGTGCAATGTTTTATGTAATATCTTAAGAGCCATTTAGGAATTAAAGTAAAGTAGTAAAGTAACAGCCTATACATGTCCCACTGCTGGGCAAAGGCCTCCTCTATACAGAGGGTATCAGGGCATAGTCCACCACGCGGCCCCACTGCGGATTGGCGGACTTCACATATCTTCGAAATATATATATTTTTTTGTTATTATTTCGAAAATATGCAGGTATCCTCACGATGTGTTCCTTCACCGCGGAGCACGTGATAAGTCAGCACTTAAAGTTAAAAACTTCATTGGTGCCGGCACCTAGGATTGAACTCAGGTTGCTTGAGTATATTGAATTAAAGGCGAGCGCCCGGACACTGAGCTATCACGGCTCTAGGAATTAATGCATTTAGGAATTAATGGTTTTTAATTATTGTCCAAATGTTTTCCTCTTAGGGTTGCAGAGAAAAGGCACATACGCTACCCATGAAATTAAATTCTAGCAGCATGCCGCAGTTGAAAGCCTTGTGTACAGTAATTGAGTATATATTTGACCGGAATGCCTCACTATTGCCTGCATATTTTATTGTCACCGAAATTCAGAAAGACTATCCGGATAACAATCATTGGCCACATTGGGTAAGTTAAAATAATAAAATGGCTCTAGCTAAAGAGTTATTTGCATGATCTTGGTGCAATGGCACTGTCTTGAAATGTTGCGTTAAAAACGAAACATAGATCTAGAAAGCTCTAATGTTACAGCTTAGCTCTGAATACCATTTGTATAAATCGCCTTGAATAATACATACATATTGGAAGGAGCCTTGTTGGCGTGGACGGAGATGACTAATTTGGTAATTCTATATATTCCATAGGGGCACATGTGTTTTTTGTATAAAATATTTATAATTGTTAGAGAAACTTTACTGTAACTATTATAACGAAGTAGCTCATAGTCAGAGACAATTAGATTTTGGTAAAAAAAAATATATATTTTTTTAATAATGCTTAAAAATACATCATATCAATATAGAAAACATTACACTCATCCTATGTGGATTTTGACACACACACGCATATATACTCGTTTGTTTATTCTGTTTTGTATTCGAGAACAGATTAATTTTGTCCAAATTATATGTAAATAATTTAAATAAATTTTGGTCGAATTTCAACCACTCGTCGTCCACTAGTAATAATTATGAAGTGTTTTATGAAATGTTTCTCTAAAAATTAAAAATAAGTTATAAACCTAAAACGCATGTATCCTTATTTTATAAAATTAACTTAATGTTATAAATGAATAATGTTATACATGATTGTGCTTGAGACGAATATGGTGATGACTATACTAAAACATCTTTTTGATTTGTATTGCAGCAACTCGCGAAACTATTAACGAACTTCGTGGAGAGCTTCAAGCCCTGCGCCCAGATGGTCTCCATTATTGGGCACTCGCACATGTTGCCCGTCGTGGAGTTCTCCGGCTACGCGGACCATCTAGTGAATCCTTGGAGGCTGGACCCGACCACGCTGAAGTTTTCACTAAAGGGCAATTTGCCGTACGAGGACGAGTTGTTGAAGCCGCAGATTGAACTACTCCGCCACGTCCTGCAGCAGCCGTACTCCAGGGACATGATGTGCTCGATGCTGGGCTTGCAGAAGCAGCACAAGCAGCGGTGCATGGCGCTCGAGGATCAACTAGTCGAATTGATGATCCTGCCTATGGAGAAGAGCGAACTGGAGGGCGAGGACGAGGAAATGTCCTCCACCCACTGGTGCTGGTTACACTTGTCCTCGCAAGTCATCTACATAATCCTCATAGGCTTCGCCGGTTTCCCCAACATAGTGATGGGCCTCCACAACAAGCTCATCGGGCACGACATGAAGAAGGGCCGCGACCATCTAATGTGGGTGCTACTCCAGTTCATATCGGGCAGTATCCAAAGGAATCCACTTTCGAACTTCCTGCCAATCATCAAGCTGCATGAGCTGCTGTATCCGGAGAAGGAGCCCCTCCCCGTCCCCGACTGCACAAGGGCCCACTGCACCCACCAGATGGCGGTGGTGTGCATCTGGATGCATCTGCTGAAGAAAGCCGAAACCGAACACAAGACCATGTCTATGCCGCAGAACTTGAAGGTGCAATATGAGTGAGTGTTGAAATATCATTTTCTCTTTCCATTTGATTTGTTTGGAAAATTCATTCAACAGTATTATAGTATTCAGTTAAACAATTAATACATATTTAACATAATCAATACAATAATGAATACCTAATATTGGAACTCTAAATTGTAAACTGTGACTGTGGTTGGGCCACACAGCAGTTTGCTAATGGTCAGGCTTGTTCAAAGAAGTACCATTACCAGCTTGAAGTCTGGAGTTAGATGACTGGGGCCCACTTTTTAAATTGTTGGCAAGGCACTGAAGATGTCTATGCACTGCAGTAATCACTTAACATCAATTCATCCGTCAGCTCACTTGCCAACTTTTCACATAAAAGGAAAAATGTTTTAGTCATTTCAGACTTGTCTTTATATTGGATTGCTAGTGTATCTAGATATCAGCACCAAAGAGATTTAATACCAGGTATTCAATGATGGAACAATGATGATTGTTTAAACATTTTATGAAAAAGTTTAGCATCTTGATGACAAAAGAATGGTTTGGAATATAATAAAAAACAAACCCAAGAACTATTTGCTAAATATTATTTATGAATAAAAGAATGGTCATTGTAGAATACGATTCACAATACTGTATTTTGTTGACAATTATAATGTTTCAATAACTTTTATAACGTTTTCTCGAAAATATTATTATCATGATGCAGTTAGCCGCCTATATTTCTGTAAAATCTTAGAATACTCTTTTTTAACTGTTTCCAGCCCTAGCGGCAACAGCTCATTAAATATTGGTATTGTCAACATCTTTCATAGTATTTTTTGTTCAAATTGAAGAATAGTTCTTTGTTTATAGGATACCGACCCCCTTGTCTTGAGAAACTTTTCCCCCACCTTAGTATTTGTACCCGGCATCGTGTTGTGTCGATTTTTTATTATGTCTCCCATTGATTAGGCACGACGCATGTATCGCTTGACATCAAAATTTATAACATTGACTTCTAATACGTAAATAAAACATTTTTTTTTTCTATTTTTCAAATTATTTCCCGTTGTTGCGAAGTGTCCTGGTAAATCCTTACAAGGTGGTTTATAGAAAATCCCTTTAAACTTTCGGCTATTTTCGGAAACGTTCCGCTACGTAGATAATACTAACCCTACGTGCGCAAGTCTGACTCACAATTGGCCGGCCTTTTAGCATTTTTTGTTATAGCGGCAACAGAAATGCATCTTCTGTGAAAATTTCAACTGTCTGACTATCACGGTTCTGGTGACAGACGAAGTCTTAGTAATAGGGTACCGTTTTACTCTTTGGATACGGAATCCAAAAAACTATAATGTTAATACTAGGAACAGACACAATCTTGTAACGCCAATTACTAGACTCCAAAAAGTAATTCATTCATAGGGCGGTATATATATGCTTCTAAAACAAGAGCCCAGTTAATGTGCTACGTCTGCCTATTAACTGTTTTAGGATATTTGTTGAAGAAAAACTGTTTAAAAAGGATTATTGACATTAAATAAATCTTGAATCTTGTTAAGTTTATTTTAATTATTCGAAACGAATAAGCATTATTCCGCGCATTACACGAAATTAGATTTATAAAATTATAAATTTTATTTAGTGGACATTATTGTGTAATGAAAAAAAAAATACCTACAACCTGACTTATGTACATTTTTAATTTTGTGAAAATTTGATATAAGATAGAGTTGATGGCTATATAAGATAGTGTTTTTTAAAACTTTATTAACTTGTGCTTTAAGAATACCTTTTTTTTTTTAATATAAGTAAATCTTAAAATACTTCTATTATACGAGTAACAGGCGTATACATGTTTTATATCAGGCAATGATCATTTCTACATTCTAATTATTTCCTATTTACAACCAACTTCTGAAGGTTATTGAGAAATCCACTGGTATTTTTCCTTTTTTTGTTACCTCAGAACTCCATTATTCATGAGCCAATTAAAAAAAATATTTTTGGCTTGGGTCAGGTCCAATATTAATTCCATTGGTATTGGCTAAGAATTAAGTAGAATATGTGTAGCATTGATTAATAATTACGTAGCATTTTTTCGTTGTCATGCAAGTTAATGTCGTTTAAAATATTTTTATTATCTTACAATACATGTAGGTTATTCTAAGAATCTTTATCATTGAAACTTTAGGTTTATGGTAACTGAAATAATAAACATTAGTTTGAGACTTGATATCCTCTAAATATCATCATATGATAATATAATATCATATTATAATATCCATCAGTGCGAGCTTCGTACAGTCGTACCATATACACGTTAAGCGAACGCTCGGCCGAGCCACGTGGTAGGCGGAGTTGGGTGTGTCAGGTTTTATTTTCGTTACGCAGTTTCGTGATTCGGTCGCCGCGCTCAAAGCCCGCGTTAAAAGCTATGCAATAGCTTGAAATCAACGACCTCCACCCCCGACAGGTTCCTGCAGCACCTGATGACGTCGAACAACACGCCCACCCTCACGGGGTCCGACTACCGCATAGCGCTGCTGTGCAACGCGTACTCCACCAACCAGGAGTACTACGCCAGGCCGATGGGCATCATAATAGAGACGCTGTTCGGCAGCCAGAAGCCGCTGACGAACGGCGCGCCCGCCGCTCCCTTGCCGACCGTTCCACTCTCCATGTGCATACTGGACAGCCTGACTCTGCACTGCAAGATGTCCCTGATCCACTCGATAGTGACCCACGTGGCCAAGCTGGCGCAGAACAAGGCCAACTTGCCGGGCAGCAACAATATGGCGCCCGCCCTGGTGGAGACCTACAGCCGCCTGCTGGTCTACACGGAGATCGAGTCGCTGGGCATCAAGGGATTCATCAGTGAGTGGCGCTACCGTGGTAATGCGTGACGGAGCGGAACACCGGACAGCTATGCCTAATACAACGCCATCTAGTCCCTAACTAAGCAAAGCTGTATTTACTTTTGTTTTGTGAATAAATGCTTAGTATAAATAAACACCAATGAAAGTAGAAAAACACTATGTTCACGACACATTATTTTTCTAGTAGTGGGGATCAAACTAACACCCTCTGTCGCAAGAGACAAGTTCACTATCCACTACGCCATTTGGGTCGTCGTCGTGCTCGGGTCTCCTAAAATTACCAACTCCGAGGCTGCTTATTCTTGCACAATCTTGCCATAGAAGCTCTTTTTTTTATGTGCAGCTACTTCTAGAGCACGAATCGGCCACCGGTAGAAGTTTTTAAAGATCGCCATTGCACTGGGAGTTGTTTTCGCGAGTAGTTACCACGATTAGAAGTCAGATCGCTTGCCATCTCTCTAAAACGATTCGTGGCTGTTGCAAAGCCACGCAGCAGCTTCTGCTATTGCAACAATGGGCTTGCCACGGTGAACTTCGGTGTTCCGTTTCTATCGTTTAGCGAGATGACCGGGGCCCGTCAAAGGTCCACAATGGTGACGTCAATAGCCGGAAGTAATCACTTAAAGTCAGTTGTTCAAGCTGCCACTTTTGCCACTTCTCCAGACCAGCTGTTGCCCACCGTGTTCAAGTCCCACGCGTGGGGCATCCTGCACAACCTGCTGGACATGTTCTCCTACCGCATCCACCACATCCAGCCCCACTACAGGGTGACGCTTCTCTCACACATACATTCGCTGGCCGCCTGCCCTCAGGCCAACCAGACGCAGTTGCAGCTGTGGTAAGTCAACGCAGATGTGGTGTTCACACACACCATGACACTCGCATATGCTAATTAACTCTCAAGTCTTGTGACTCTCACTGGATGGACCAAAAGTGGTTCCATATGCGGTGGGCATGTGTGGATGATGTTGCTAAACACAACATTTTTAACGCAAATATGTGGTTCCGATTTACCAAAAACGCCTGACGATCACGAACCTGGTTATTCTGATGGGTCATCACTGTATTAATTAATATATTTTGCTATTCTTCTGGCTAGTGAGGTTCTATGCGACCGCCCAGTCTTTAATTTAAATCTCGATAAACCATCTCCGACAAACCCCTTTGTTCGAAATTTAAATTTATTTTTACTTTTTAAGTTATTTTATTTTATACATCAACTTACAACTATTTTTACAGGCTATACCTAATGCGATAGTGAAGTTCGAATACAGTTTAAGATAACATGTCACTAAAACTAAACACAGAACATTTAACGTAGCCAATGTGAACTAGTGCAATGAGCAATGGTACAAATCTAATTCATTAGCTACTGTATTTTAAATACAAAACACGCGAGTCAGTGGTGAAAAACCTAATAAATTTAGTCCGTGACCTAGGTACAGATAATAGCATCGGCCGCCGCCTCCTCCTCAAGTATCCTTCTGGTACGAATAGCCTCATCCGCTGCAACACAGTCGGATGATTTAGTTTACCACGCAATACCTGTAAAAGTTACGTGGCTAGAAATACTTCCCTCTTACTTAACATCTTAACGTCACAGTTCCAAAGTCAACAGAGTAAGCTTGGAGGCCGAACGATCGTGGAATCTTCTGATTGGCTCGGGATAGATTAGGTAATGTTATTTATTATAATTCGTTCACTGAAACTTTCTGTACTATATATTGAATATCAGTGCTTTCTCACGACCGGTTTCGATTATCAATCCAAAGATAGATTCGGTTAATGTTGACGGAATTCTGACGTGAGTATTATCGAGCTAATGTCAGATACCTATCTTTAGTAAAAAAAATCTATAGTATACTAGCTGACCCGGAAAACGTTGTTTTGCCATACAAATTAAAAAATGTTTGGGGTGGACCACCCTTAACATTTAGGGGGATGAAAAATAGATGTTGTCCGATTCTGCACCATGGCCGATATGCACACAAAATCTCACGAAAATCGTTCGAGCCGTTTCGGAGGAGTTCAATTACAAACGCCGTGACACGAGAATTTTATATATTAGATAGAACATTGAAAGCGGCCCGTGAGGCGCATGTCATCAGTCTTCCTCGCTATCACCAGTCATTCTTGCAGCTTCGAGAGCACGGCGCTCCGTCTGATCACCAGCCTCGGCAGCTCCGGGGTGCAGCTGCAGATGTCGCGCGTGGTCTCCGAGCCCAAGTCCCTGGTCTCGGCGGACAGCGAGGAGCTGAACCGCGTTCTGGTGCTGACCCTGGCGCGCGGCATACACATGGCGGGCGCCGGTGCGTGTGACGATAGTTGCCTTATAGGAGAACAGCGCGGCGTTTGCTGGTTTATGTGTATCAAAGTCAAATATCTTTATTCAATATAGAAGCATGCACTTACTTATTGATAGAAATCTCTACCACCGGTTCGGCAGGAAAGCCACTGATCTGAGAAGAACCGGCGTAAGAAACTCAGCGGGACATTTAATTCTTTTTTTTTTTTACTTAAAATACAAATATGTGAGCGATCATCAATTGATGTCCATAGTGTGTTATCATTCAAATAATCACTAATAATATAATAGCCACATATACGTTCCTTTATAAGTTTTATGAATTTAGCAACGAATTAATTTTGAACGTTTTCTGGGATTTTGTTGTGAAAGCGTATATATACATTGTTCCATAAAAGATTTACTTATTCTACGCAATCTAGTGTATTGGAACCTCCAGATCCCAATGTTATAAACGTTTGAAAGTGACGTGTAGTTCTTCGAGCGTCAGTCATTAGTAATAAAAGTATTAGATATTTATTCGTCTAAAATCACGAATAATGTACAAGTAATGTTAAATAGAATTATTTTGGTCAGATTTTAGACAAAAAGGTCTGGGGTTCAGCTTTGTTACACACATTGTGCACAAGTCTGATATTCTACCCTAGCTCATTAACTAACGGAACACGATTAACAATGAATATTTAATAATATAAAACTAAAAATAATAATAATGGAAGAAATATAACAATAGTTAAAAACTTCACCATGAAATTAAAATATGCCAGCAACCCTTTATTATCTGTAATGTAACTAATTCCTTATCGTGTCGATACCATAAATTTAAGGTTTCTTTTGCGTAAAATTCGGTCATCTCATAAAGATATATTTTATAGACCGTTTATAACTGTGTTTCTGAAACGCCCGTACGAGGCGGAATGGTATTGCGAATTGGTAAACGCACTTATTTCATTGCGAATATGAATTCCGGTTTATTACAAAACGAAATCAAACACCTAATAGGAAACGGAAAATTAAATAAAAATCGAGTGAACAATACTGTAACATCCTGTATTATATTTTATAGACGCTTGATAAGCAGTAGACTAATTTTTTCTAATACGTTGTTCGCAGGCAGCGATGGTGCAGCCGTCAAAGAGCTTCTGACCACTATAATGACCAACACGCCCCACATGTGGTCACAGCACACCATACAGTGTTTCCCGCCTGTGCTCGTCGAGTTCTTCGCCCAGGTATAGACGCTCGGCTTTAGTTGAACCCACCCTAACTACCCACTCATTGAAGTATATATATTACCGCCGCATAGAACCTATTATTCGAAAAAATAAGTATCAGCCTATACATATCCCACTGCTGGGCCTTTGCCCTCTGTACAGAGTACGCAAAGGCGTATTCTGTACAGAGGGCATTAGGCATAGTCCACTGCTCGATGACGGATTTCAGATAACTTTTAAATATTATTTGCTGTTATTCTGCCGGTTCCCTCACGATGTTTTTGTATATATAATTATTATGATTATTGAATAATTGACTGTGAAAGTGTAAAAGACCCGTCCAAATAAACTGCGTCAATTTCAAATTTCATTAGCCGATACACAGATACATTTAACCGTTATACTTTTCACGAGTCACGTTTATATGCAGTCCTGTGTTAATTTATTCGCTGCACCCACTGATGTCTCTATGCTTTTACGGCCAGTGTTGGCCACGTGCGGTGTGACATAAAGGGAAGACTGCGACAGCCCTAGTGCCAAATCTCTTCCAGAACCCGGCGCCTAAGGAGAACAAGCAGCTGCTTAAGAAGTTCGTGGACGAGGAGTACAGGAAGTGGTCCTCAATGGCCAACGACAACGACATAGTGTCCCACTTCTCCGCCCCGGGAACGCCCCTCTTCCTTTGCCTGCTCTGGAAGATCATCTTCGAGACGAACCGGATCAACCCTATCGCTTTCAAGTGAGCAGCCACGACACTTATCACTAAAGACATTTAGGACAATTGCCCTTTGGCTACGTTTCACTCACTAAAGACGCTTTAATGACTAACGGTGGCTTTCAATATTCTATCTAATCTATCTGTATATTTGGTTACTAGCGATAGGTTTTTGGCTTTAGCTCCATAATAGTTATGTCTTCTTCTATCTCTTAACCCGCCGTAAACCGTAAAGCTTGTCAATTTAACCGCTGAACTAAGCTTAGCGGTTAAAGCCACTTGACTCAGCGCTTAGAGCCACTTAGCTTAGTGGTTAAAGCCTTAGTGTTTAAAACTATCGAACCGATGCGCGATTCTGGTAGACGCGGGTTCGATTCCCGTGGCTGCGAATAACTTTTCGTTTATTTTTTCTACAAATATTAATGTTCCATTCAAGTGCAAAGTTTAGCACTATAAAATGTAATAAAAATTTTTTTAGGATTTATAGAAATACCGGCGAATGATCCAAATGAATTCCTTCGAGCAAATATATTTTTAGAATCTCAATTAATGTTGTATCTAAAGTCTAAACTAAGCAAAGCTACCCAAACTTGACCCAGAGTCTAGCTGACTGAGAAACATGTTTACACGTAATCTCTACGTATATGTATTGCCACCGGATCGTGTGAGTGGCGGGACTATGTGGGAGTCCTGGGTACCCACTAAAACAGGGGTACCACCTGTATTTGGTCATCGGCCCGGGATTCGGAGCACGATGGGCCACGCCACAGCTTCTGCTGTTGCAACAATGGGCGGGCTCATCCGGGGAAGTACCACGGCCTAACAGAAGACCGGCGCGAAGAAGTGAATGTATTATCGTTTCGCGTTTAGTCTGTTGAGTGAGGTAGCCGGGGCCCACTTTTTCAATGGTAGGCTTTTTCAATCTGCAACCCGTGATGTGTTGGAGATGTACACGGGCGGCGGGTATAAGTTAACATCAGGTGAACCGCTCGCTTGACAACTTTTCACATGAACGAACACATTTTTACTACCAAAACGCACAAACCACTGCAAATATCTCACACACTATAAATTTTCTATTTCATTTTGTTCTCCGTCCAACGTATCTCCATCGGAGGTCCAATACGGGATTATGTGGAGCTGAAACGAGCCCTATGCAAAAAGAGTTTTTAAGATTATTTCATAAACGGCGGAGTTCTGGAGTAACGAACATAAAAAAAAAAAAAACAACCGAATCGAGAACTCCTCCTATTGTGTTTGTTCATTTGTTCGAAAATAAGAAATAATTAGAATGCATAAATTTTCTATGGCTTGAACCAGTACACGTATAAATATTTCTTTTTTCTTATTCTCATCGAGACCCTACTTTTGTTAAGTATGTTGAAAACATTGATGACGCCATGGCTCAATTTTAAGGATAATGGCTCCGGTCTTGGATTCCCACACGGGCCATCTCTCTGTGTCGCCCACGGATAATTGTTTCGAGTCTTGGTGTTTGTCCAAGTGAAGTTTACGTTTCTAAAACGCTCTTACAACACGGGACAGTGTTATCCTACAGTAAGGGAAATTTTAAAAACGTCGTCGTCCGCGACACCGACGCGCCGTAACTCATTGTAATGTGGTCGTCGGGATTTAGTAACCAGCCTCCACCGCTTACTGACAAACCCCTCCGCGGGCTGACGGACGGACAGGATCCTGGAGCGTATCGGAGCCAGGGCACTGTCCGCGCACCTTCGCAAGTTCTGCGACTACCTGATGTACGAGGTGACCAACCCGGCGGGCAGCCCGCACATCAACAAGTGCGTGGACGCCATCAACGATATCGTTTGGAAGTACAACATCGTCACCATCGACCGCCTCGTGCTGTGTCTCGTGAGTTTCAGTTTCTTAGCGGAGCGGGTGCAACGAAAACAATTCGAAACGCACCCCTTCTCGTATGTATCAGCGTATAACATCAATTAAAATCACACATTTTGCAATCTATATTAACTTTTAACAAAAATTCGATCGCACTATTCTCATGTATATCCATGTATAACATAAATTAAAATCACACCTTTTGCAATCTATATTGACTTTTAACAAAAATTTGAATCGCACCATTTCTCATGTATATCCATGTATAACATAAATTAAAATCACACCTTTTGCAATCTATATTGACTTTTAACAAAAATTTGAATCGCACCATTTCTCATGTATATCCATGTATAACATAAATTAAAATCACACCTTTTGCAATCTATATTAACTTTTACCAAAAATTTGAATCGCACCATTTCTCATGTATATCCATGTATAACATAAATTAAAATCACACCTTTTGCAATCTATATTAACTTTTAACAAAAATCCGATCGCACCATTCTCATGTATATCAATGTATAACATCAATTAAAATCGCACTTTTTCTAATCTATATTGACTTTTAACAAAATTCGAATCGCACCCTCACTCATCTATATCAACTTCTAACATCAAATCCAATCGTATCATTCACATTCACATCAACATATAACATAAATTAAATAATTAATAAATTTCCACCATATTGGCCAGCCGTTTTAAGAGAATATCTGCACTACGTCAGGTACTGCGCCCGAACTTGGACGGCAACGAGAGCCAGGTGTGCCTGTACATCATCCAACTGCTACTCCTGAAGGGATCCGAGCTGAGGAATAGGGCGCAGGACTTCGTCAAGGAGAACTCGCCCGAGCACTGGAAGCAGAACAATTGGTACGCCATCAATTAATATTCCTCTCAGTAATTAATGAGTTTCTTTTATTGTACTCCAGCATCTCCTAGACGGCAATTTTTTTTCCTACTTCCGAACTACTTCACACCAAGGATCCATATATTAACAATTAATTGTATCTAATATTTATTTTCTGTGTCGTTTCATCATGGGGCAGTTGATCGTTTATTTTTGGGGGTAAATTAAGGACTGTGCCGGTGCATGTATGGGCCAACGTGTTCCAGGTACGACAAGCACCTGACCTTCCACCGCAAGTACCCGGAGAAGTTCGCCCCGGAGGAGGCGGGCGGCGCCTACGGGGGCTCCATCCCGGTGTACCTGAGCAACGTGTGCCTCCGCTTCATACCGGTGCTGGACGTGGTGGTCCACCGCCACCTGGAGATACCGCAAGTGAGCAAGAACCTCGAGCAGCTGCTGGAGCACATCGGCTACCTTTACAAGTTCCACGGTTAGTTTCCCCCTAATCCTCCGTAATAAAAAGTGACTTTTTGTTAATAAATATTTTTTTTTAATGTGATAAGGTGGCACGCGACATGACGGTCCGTCCGCCTGATGACATTTGCAACACCCGTAGGGTTTCAGATGCCACCCTCCAATAAAGTGAGCTCCGGTTACCCCAATCACCATACGAAATGGAGAAATTCAAATGTTTACATATCCGCGGATTTAATCTATTTAGCTGTATATAATAGCATGTAAATTTAGCTTTATCCATTAAATTGCCATGCAGTCAACAAATAAAAAAAATATAGTAATGGCGTGTAACGATAAAATTAATATAAAAATAATAATAATACAATATTGTCCAAATAGTTATGTGTCATTACCATAATCGTAATGAACGGAGCCTAAGACAAAACCACATCAAAATCGTTACATCAACCCGACATTCTGGTGCAAACAGGGGAGGGAATACCTAAAAAAAAAAAAAAACTGTCAATAGCTTTTAGAATGCATTCACTTGTAATGTCAAGGTTCACTTATCCTAGATCAAAGATATTCGAATTTCGAACGGTGCAATCGTTCAACAACAATCGTCCTTATGCGGCCCGTGTGCCGTTTCCAGATCGGCCGGTGACGTTCCTCTACAACACGCTGCACTACTACGAGTCGAAGCTGAGCGACAAGCCGCTGCTCAAGCGGAAGCTGGTGCAGGCGGTGCTCGGCTCGCTGAAGGAGGTGCGCCCCGCCGGCTGGGCCACCACGGAGGCCTTCCAGGCCTTCCTGGCCAAGCCTGACGCGGAGGCGACAAGCTGGGCGCCCGACCTCAACTACTACCTGGCCCTCGTCAACCGCATGGTGGACAGTATCCTTTCGTAAATGTCGTGTTTTGAGAATTGGCTGTTAGACGAGTGACTTATAACTTTACGCCCAGTTGGCGTAGCGGATAGTGAAGCTGTCGTTCGCGTCGGAGGGAATGGGTTCGAAACCCACTATTGGAAAATTATTGCGACATGAATCTAGTGTTTTTCTAGTGTTTGGGTGTTTATTTATCATGCATTTATTTGGAAAATAAATTACGTTTAAGTATATTTCAATCGTCAGCCAGCTACCTACTATCTGGTACGCTTTGCTTAATTTGAAACTAGTTAACGTTGTGTAAAAACATCCCCGAAAAATGTATTAATTTAATTTATTTAATTAAATTTTATTTAGAAAACGCTCGAGCAAAAGGAATGAGGAGCAAACGTAGTCATACATTTTTGTTTTACATTGAAGATTTTACTTGTGAGGTGTCGCGTGTGGTCGTAAAATTGCAAAAGTTACACATAAACGACTCTTTAAGAATTTTAGAGATTACATTTTCTCCATGGATTTTTTTAATATGAGATAAAAATTATGTTAAACTATTAATCATTAACAATAAAGGTCCCATGAAGACCCTTGAATGATCTTCTTAATGATCAGAATGATCAATTCAAAGAGTTTAATAATCCTTTTGGCAACTCAAATAACATTTGAAAGCTTATTCGTTGACTTCAGAAGACGGGCGTAAGTCGTGGCTAATATTGGATTAACTTAAGCGACATTAAACGCTCCTCAAATTGATTTGCTAAGTAATTCCACTGAATTCGTCAATCTTACTTGATTTTGTTACAATTGCCCTGTTGGATATGTTTGACTTCTACACTGGGATAATCTTTGCTGTGGCACAGCGCCACCCGGTGCAAAGATGAGTTTCCTCAACGCCGAGCAGCTATGACTGGCCAGTCGCACTTCCCGACCACCGACTGGCGGTTCAACGAGTATCCGAACCCGTCTGCGCACTCGCTGTACGTGACGTGCGTCGAGCTGATGTCGCTGCCGCTGCCGCCGGCGCTGGTCGGCAACTGCATGCTGGACGTGGTCACGAAGGGCTTCGTGGTCATACCGCCGACCAAAATCCAGCTCTGGATCAACGCGATAGGGCTGATAATGGCGGCGCTGCCGGACCCCTACTGGGGCGTGCTCCACGACAGGGTGCTCGAGCTGGCGGCCGGCGAGGAGATGGCCGAGTGGCCGTTCAGCCACACGCCCTTCCAGATATTCAACATGAAGGCCACCAGCGATGCGATGCTCGAGAACAAGTACAGCCTGACGCTGGCGCTGGCGCACGCGATCTGGTACCACGCTGGCGCTGGGCAGATCATGCAGGTGCCCGTGTAAGTGGCTCTTTGTTCCGTCTCCGTACTGTCGGTCTGTGTGAGCCGTGTCCGGATTGGGGAAAGTGAAATAAACAGCCTTTTACGTTGCCGTTCTGCGTGTAAATAAACGGGCTGTACTATTCAGTCTGTGTGTAATGCTAATTTGCCTTGCTAATTTGCCTATATCTTGTAGGTCCGTGTCGGCTGTATGTGAAAAGTTGCCAAGCGAGCGGACGGTTCACCTGATGTTAAATGAATACCGCCGCCCAAGGACATTTACCACACCCGAGGGTTCCAGATGCGTTGACAAACCCTCTGAAAATTGGGCTCCGGCCACCTCACTCACCTGACGAAACGCGAAAATATTACACTTCCGCTTCACGCCGGTCTTTGGTGAGGTCGTGGTACTCACCCGGATGAGAGAGAGCACCAGCCGAGGCCGCTGCGTGGCCCTACCACCTTTCACGTTCTATGGGAACCATTAGACGCGAGTTCTCCCTGGAAATTCTTCAGGTTCGTGAAGGAGAAGATGGCGCCGGAGATCCGCACCGAGAACCAGCTGCTGTTCCTGTGTCACCTGGTGGGGCCGTTCCTGCAGCGCTTCAACACGGACCTGTCGCGCGCCGTGATGGACCTCACCCTGGTCCTGTACGAGCTGCTCGCCAGCATAGACAAGGCGCAGCCCCACCTCAACTACATCGACCCGATATGCGACCTGCTGTATCCTTTTACCGAAGCGCACGGCTGCATTTCGATACTGTGCGGCAGAATCACGATTATCCGAAACGATTGTCCGGATATCCGACTATCCGGACAATCGGTTTATATAATCATACAATTATTTCGATTTGAAATTTTGAATTATACTGGTTACTCCATTTTCCTTTTGATATAGTATCTTCTAAATGACGTACGTGAAACCCTTTCTATAATGGACTTTAATTATTGTTCGATTTGACTTTGAAGTCGATTATCCAGGTTTTCGATTATACGGAGTACCCCTGTTTTCATTTGATTCGGATAGTCGGGATTCTACTGTACTTTGCATTTCAATTGGTACTGATGTGTCGGTGGCGTCGATAATAACTTATTGACTTCGGCGACGCGAGTCACGTGTCGGGTTCGATTCCCGCACGGGACAAGTTTTCGTGTGACCCACGGATAATTGTACCGGATCTGGGTGTTTGTTTCCCAAGGAGGGCAGACGAAGGGCAGGCGGCCGGTCGTAATAAACATAGCCAAAACCGCTTACGATATGATTCAAATATTGTGCCGACCCCACCCAAATGTGAGTATAAGGATATTCGATGACTCCGGGGCGCAGTTGCCATGGTATTTTCGATTCCCACACGGAACATCTATTTGTGTAACCCACAGATAGTTGTTTCGCGTCAGGGTGTAAAAAGTAACGTAAAGTAACAGCCTATACATGTCCCACTGCTGGGCAAAGGCCTCCTCTATACAGAGGGTATCAGGGCATAGTCCACCACGCGGCCCCACTGCGGATTGGCGGACTTCACATATCTTCGAAAGTTTTTTTGTTATTATTTCGAAAATATGCAGGTTTCCTCACGATGTTCTCCTTCACTGCGGAGCACGTGATAAGTCAGCACTTAAAGTTAAAAACTTCATTGGTGCCGGCGCCGGGGATCGAACTCAGGTTGCTCGAGTATATTGAATTAAAGGCGAGCGCCCGGACACTGAGCTATCACGGCTCAGGGTGTTTGTCCACGTGAAATTAGTGTTTGAAATTAGTTTTGTAAAACGTCCTTACGACACCGGAAAATGTTATCCGCGTAAAGTTAGGGCAGTGTTTTAAAAATAAAGGCCGGACGATGACGATTTGAGTTGGTACTGCAGTAGGGCCACTCAAAAGTTTTCGTTGATACACGAATGGGCAGGTCCGTCCGGGTAAGTACCACTAGCTCATAGAAGACCGGAGCGAAGTGGAAGTGTTCAGCGTTTCAACTGATGAGTGCGGTAGCCGGGGACCACTTTATTTGATATGACAACACGTGTGCAACCCTACTGGTGGTGCAGGGCGGTGGTAACCACTTAATATCATCTCAAGCGCCCTTGCCACCTTTTAATATAAAACAAATGGTGACGACATGTGCAAAAAGCACAGAGAGCTGATGCATTGTGTCAGAGGGCTATGTTCAGCGGTGGACTAGAACAGGTCGAATTGGTGATGATACTGATTTGAAAAATGTAGCACGAAAATCTGTTCTAACTAGACTAATTATTCATTCTTTAAGAAATTACTGAATTGTATTTGAGTATGGCCTGCGTTTGAGCACCCCTTCTAGAACGTCGTAACTTCTTGTAATGAAATTGAGGATTTTGGTCAGAAAGTAAATGGATGAATATATTTTTTTTTCTTATGAGTACGATGTTTACACTGACCATGCTATACTAAACGACTTATTTAATAATATGTATTGGCAATCTGCCTCCACCATTTAAAGTATTAATGACACCGCATCATCATTACGATAATACCTTAATGTCGTAATCCTTTAATAGAATTAAAAATTAAAAAAAAAAAAAACGATAGCTTCCGCCTACTCTATGGTCTTCTATGTGGACGATTAGACAAAATATAGTTCACTGTGGTGCACAGTCATTTCATACAGGCATTCCCTGTCTAACAAAAAAACTTTAAAAAAAACTAAGTGATCGGGGCGAAAACATAACTAGTCACATGAATGATTTCCAAAGCGGCCATTGTTAAGTTTTGTTACCTTTAAATTTAAATTAAAACGTACGACCTTGCAACGAGTGGGCTATCCTTTCGGCATGTCCATGACGACATGGGGATGCGAAGCTATCAGTGCCAATAAGACCTTAGCGGCGCCCAGCTACCACATAAAATACATGTTCGTCGGCGACACCATGAAGAACGAAGTGGAGAGCGTGATAAGGAAGCTGCGACCCTCGCTGCAGATGCGTCTCCGCTTCATCACCCACCTAAACGTGGACCAGATAAACACCGCCTAGCAGAGCGACTACTACAGCTACACGCCGTCCAGCAGCAGCTCTAGCTCCGAGTAGACGGCGCAGCTGTAGTTCTGCCCACTGTAAACTGAACAAATGTCGAAACACTAACGCCCGGTTTCTGAAACACTGATCGTTGTAGAAGTCAATTAATCAGCTGTCAAATGGATTTTCAAATAATATTTGAGTTGCTAAAAGGATTCTTAAACTGTTTGAATTGATCATTAAGAATTCTGTTCGATTCAGTGAGTTAAAACAATCCTTTTGGCAACTCGAATAACATTTGAAAATTCATTTGACAGCTGATTAGTTGACTTCTGCGATGATCAGTGTTTCAGAAACCGGTCGTTAATAACGCACCAGGGTAACTGCTAATGGTCGAGTCTAATCGTCCGTCCCCGTTATGACGAGCCCGGCGGGCATATCTAAATTGTTCTACAAATGCTCTTCTACACTACTGTAATTAATTTTCTTACAATATTCCAGATAAAGATAGTAATTGTTATTGGAGATACAATTTTGACGTAAAGTAACCAATTTGAAATACCTGTCGCTAGCGACCAAATCCATAGATGGAATATTGACACCGGACCGTTAGTTGAATCTAGCTTTCAGATAAGTTTGAATTTTCTGGAGAATTGTTTTATGTCTATCGCACAGAATAATTTTTATACTTTTATGTTTTACGTCTATAATGTTTGGACTTTAGATTTGTGCCCGTGTAATGTATACTGTATTAGAAATGTAATCTATACTGCTTTAAAAATGAGCTGGATGACCAAAATCTGGTTACGTTAGCGCGATGGATGAAATTATATAATTATATATAGCTAGAATTAATTAGATACTTACGTGAAAAATGGCAATTTCATAATTATACTTTTAGCGAAATTACCATAGACTCAAAAAAAGTTATTTTGGCAATGTAACCCAAAATGTTCGGCTAAAATTAAGGATGTTCATAATTTACTTTATTAGTTCAAAATTTTTAAATTCGTTTTACGGTTATTAATAATACAATCAAAGTTATACTTTTCGAAATTAAAATTTGTAGAAAAATGGACGAAAAGTTTTTACATATAACTATGTCTAATAGCTCTAATAACGATGAATGATTAATAAAACAAACATTCGCACATGGTTTTTCTCACCATGTTAAAAATTCAATGGTGAGTCGATTTTAATGTTCCGTACCCAAACGGTAAAACGGGAACCTATAACTAAGACTCCGCAGTCTGTCTATTCGACTGTATCTCATGTATTGTGATAGTTAGACAGTTGAAATTTTCACAGGTGACATATTTCTGTTGCCGCTATAACAAGAAATATTAAAAAACTATTTAAGTGGGGCACCCTTGCAAAAGACATGATTTTAGGGTTTATTTAGACAATGGTAGGGAACCCTTTGTGCGCGAGTCAGACTCGCACTTGGCCGGTTTTTCCTTTTCTTTAACTTGTCTAGGTAAATCTTATTTTGTTGACTCAAATTAATGTCAAAGTTTGTTTATATCATAAATGATCAATTTTATACCTACTAATAATTTTTGTATCTGTATATTATGTATATGTATAGTCTGATAAAATATAACAAAATACAAATTTTGTCCATACATCACACAATATGACATAATATTATACTCTAATGATGGGCTAATATAATCACTGACATATACATGTACGACATAAATATGTTAAATAATTAAGAAATCCTTTTTAAAACGGTAAATATATCTTGGCAACACTGTACAAAATACATCATAATTTTATCAAAACTTTTCCTAAAACCAAATTTTATTCTTGTTAAAAAGGTGATTTTAACAATACTAATGTAACCTACCTTTACTTGTCATTTGTAAAAAAGAGTACTTAAATGAAAATTTTACTACTCTTTTAATAAACTGATTGAGAAAAATAATTGACATATTTTGTAGAAAACCAGGAGAATTTGTTGTTGTTTGCTATTTTCAGTGACATAGCATGTTGAGGAGACCGCTAGATGACATAATATCACTATTTTCATAAAACTTAACATTTTTAATTAAATAAGGCTCCATTTATATCATACTAGCTGACCCGGCAAACTTTGTTTTGCCATATAAATTATTTATAGGGTAGAAAAAAATGTTTGGGGTGGACCAACCTTAACATTCAGGGGGATGAAAAATGGATGTTGTCTGATTCTCCACTCTGGCCGATATGCACACAAAATTTCGATCGAAAATCAGTAGAGCCGTTTTGGGGGAGTTCAATTATAAACACTGTGACACGAGAATTTTATATATTAGATTACTTACAAAAATAAAAAAGCCATCAAGTGAAATATGTGTGTGATCAACTTGTGGAAAATTATAGTAAGGTTCGAAATGATGCTGTCCATCCATTCATTGCTAGTTTAATTGTTTGCTATTTACAATAATTGTGGCAATACATGTTAGTGAAATTTATAATATTATATTCTTTCCAATGTATTGTTGGAGTATAATATTTAGAGATTTACCTAATATATTTTTTAGTTATTAAAGTGCCAGATAATTAACTAAATAGAGTTTATAGGTCAAAAGTGAAATCACTAATAATTTATGGTCTAATTTTAGGCCTAAACATTCACTTATCTAAATGGAAATTTTGTATTGATACAATATTTGTCAAATTTAACATGTATTGACATCAAATAGTCATGTAAGCTTTCGGTATAGCTACATATTTGTATTACAGGCTATAGGTACTTATAATGCTTAATACTAAGGCATATTTATTGCCATTAAGTTATATTTAAATATTGTTTTTAGAATAATAAAAGGTAGTATGATAGATCACAGTGTAATCACAACGCAATGCAATAGATAAGTAACAAATGATCACAATAACAATAATAATAAACCTATTGAGTGAGTTTTGTGTAAGTAAAAGTAGTTATAGGTGTTAAATGGGAGCATTATTTTATTAAGTGTTGAGAACTATTCTTTTACATTTAGTTACTAGAGCATTTCAATTAAAAAAAAAGATTTGTTTTAACATTAAACACAATTTCATTTATGTTTTACAGAATTGTATTGTTACAATACAAATTTGTATTGTTACCAAAATATTAATGGTTTTCATTGGATTGTTAAAAATAAATCACTACTTTTATAATAAATTTTAAATGAATAATTTCATGTCAGCATCCTGATGATAATCAATCCTTTTAAGGATATGAAGAAAAGTCTCTGTTTATATATTTAAATTTATAGTGGAATCTTTAAGACATGTTCCAAAAATAAATGCTAAAAGTCAGTAGGTATGAATTTAGGATTTCGTTGGCAATTTTAAATATAATTTTTTAAATATTTTTAATATCTTTTCATTGTGAGATGCAGATGGTTCTGCTAGTGATCTCTTGCTTCTTGGCAGTCTGTGGGGGGTCTATTCAGCGGAACTAGAACTGGCTGAAATGATAATTTCGTGAACGTTTGTACTGTCACTTTTAATATAAATAGGATAATGTATATAAACATTAATCACATTTAAAATAATGCACATGTTAATTTATGTTTTCTTTTAATAACATAAAAATTTTAAATATTTTTTATAATTGTTATTAAGTTTATTATAAGTTAAGAAGCTTACAGTGTAGAATTAATTTATAATGCCAAGATACATATTTATTTGTGTTGTGATCATTATTTTTAAATCAAATGGTTTGATCAAATTTTGAACATAGACTTATTACTTTAAAAATAAGTAATGATATATATTAATACTCCTGTAATATGTATTAATACTGAAGTATAATATTATGCAAATTGACGATTACATTTTGACAAATATGGCTGTAATTTTTATTAAAACTCAATGTATATAATTTTTCAGTTTAACATAAAAGAATTAATCTAATGATTTATTCAATGGGTCTAAAATATCAATATTGTTATTTTTATACAATGGTTGCTAATTGGACTTAAAGTGTAAGATGTGTAGTGTAAATTATATTTTAATATTTTTAAACAATTGCCACATTCATACGGATTTTACCTAAAATAAATATAGTTTTCCATTACTTGGATATCTTTTAATTAAATTTATGTTATTTACCCTCATCATCCTCATCATCAACCGCAAGACGTCCACTGCTTGATTTAACATAGGCCTCCCCGTTAATTACCCACAAGTACATAATGTAATAAAATAAATTATAGTTAAATTTCTACTTCTATAGAGACCAATCTAACTTTTGAAACATTCTTTAAAAATATTATTTGTATAAAGTATATCCTTAACAATTATAACAGAAAATTTGTTTCATTCACCTATTGTTAGCTCTAAACCAAAGTAAATTAAATAATTTTTACAGATTTCACAGGAAGTGCGCCATTAAAATTCACTGTACAGTGGATAATTCAAATTATTGCGCCAAGTATTAATCATGAGTTGTATACTCTTACTTTATATAATTCTCGTACTACTTGTAGCGCGTAAATTTTTTAAAAATAAATTTTATTTAATTATTTAAAACCACTTAAGAGAATATTTTCAAAAAACAGTTTTTTTTTAATACTCATTTGACTATTAAAATGAGAGAAAGCCGCCATTTTGTTGTAGGATGTACGAGAGTATTGAGTAGCGTTGCCTGGCAACCAGTTATACAGTCAATTGACGATCTGTAAGGCAGTCTTGCTTGCGATAAAGCCAGTCAATTTACTAACTCGCTCGGAGTGAGCGGTAGTGTCCAGTAATTCGACGCGACTGCTTGTGCTTGTAACATTACATCTTATTAAAAGACTTGAGTGAAAACTATTTAAAAATGACGTCGGAACCTAAAAACACGACCCCTGAAAATCCAGAGAAGCCGAAGGAGGTGAAAGACGATGCCCCGGTAGACAATGGCCAGACCAAAGAGGAGACGCCGGCAACTGAGGAAAAAGCTGAGAAGGCAGAAGAGAAAAAAACAGAACCAGCTCCTCCGAAGCCGACCGTTCACAAAAGCAACTACGAGCAGGACGTCGTCTACCTGTACCAATTCTCGCGAACTCCTTTGTTGCCATCGACTTCACCGTATTGCTTGAAAGTTGAGACATGGCTTCGTTTGGCTGGCATCAAGTACCAGGTAAGTTTTATTTTAAAAAAGGGACTAAAGAAACCCGCTCGCGTTCAGCAGACCCACATAAATTAAAAATTTCGTTGAACTTGTTTCATTCTCATTTTATCATTCATATCTGTACCTTCGCTGTGCTACTTCCTAGACCTTTATTTTTTTTTTTAAATTTGTTATGACTACTGTAATGAGGGGATAGTTTCATGTATGGAGTTAAAACTGCAACAATATTTCATGTTTTATTTACGAAATTTAGAAAGCACCGTTGCCGCCGCGAATTGTGCGCTGCGAATGTCCGCCGTTTGCTGATAATTTTTCCTTCTTAAGATTTTAGAAATAAATTTAAATGAACTGGGTTCTAAGAAACTTAAGATTTCAAATCCTAAAGAAGAATATTAAGAAGAAGATCCTAAAGAAGAATAGAAAGAAGATTAAGAATGTCAATATTGATAATTTTATATACATATTGTTGCAATATTTATTCGGCGTTTATCTTTTTGAAATTCTTAATAGGGACGACGATAGTTAACTTCAAGTACTTTTTATACCTGCTCAATTTTTCATCCTTTATAACTTTTTTGATAGATTCCTTTGTTATGAAAATGTCATTATTAAAATAAAAATACGTTAGGATTACTGGATATTTTCATAAGTTCTTATCAGTAATTTTAATTCCTTTTTTTATGAAGAGTTTAAATAAGTACTGCATTATTATTATGTTTCGCATTAATATTTGATGACAAAGACTGCAACGATATAACTCTGAGCAACTTGTAACTAGTACCTATACGGATAATTACAATTATGAAAAAACTTGTCTGAAAAATTAAATGGCGACGAAGCATTAACGCCATGATTTTGGGGTGAGGCCATAAAAGCCCATAAGGGGTGCTCGTTCGGCGCTTCGGTAGCCGGCCCTATCGCGCATGTACACGGCGCCAGCGCTGTAGCCGCCGCCTGTGCGCCCTTCCCCTTTCCCGCCGTCCGCCATGTTCCCGCAAGATGGCGGATTTAAAGGGAACCAACTCTCGAACTGACTGAATACTCCGCATAAACATAGTTCACTCGAATAAAATTTAATAGTAAGGTGTTGGTATTTTATGAAATCGATGCTTTCAACTAACACAGGGAGATGTTAGAAAGCGACCTTTTTATGCATTGCTTTTATTCACTATGCTTGACGGAGCCGGATTTTTTTCGAAGAATTCTAAAACTTTATGATTCTTGTCACACTGGAATTCGTTTTTGGATTAAAAGGGAGAAGCTAGATCAACGAATTTCATTACTTTCAACTACTTCTAGTTTGTCCTGATATGTAATGAAACTAAATATTTATGTATTTGAATTATTAATGAGTTACTTTTCAACAGTGATCAAAAAGTAGTTGGCACGAGACTTTGTTCACATCGAATTAGGTTACACTACATCTGAAATGAGGTTGTTCTACGGGCATTTATAAAGATTGATAGTTTTTTGTTGACTTAATTACATTTAATTGTCGCTCCAGTAGTTTGAGCTTGCGCGGAACCACTAAGTGGATATTGGGAACTTATCGTAGCTTTTGCTGATTGGATTACAGCGGAACCCTCTACTCCAGTTTAACATAGTGCATCACGTTTGTTGTAATTGTATTTATTTACTGGACTACTACGTGACCACTCGCGGTTATGTTCGAGTTGGATCCAACGCTTGCGCAATTCTGAAGTATCGAACGATAGTACATTGTAATAGTTGCGTCAAAAAATTTCCGGACTTCATTATGAAACCGTTGTCTTGGCTTCGATTTTTGATTATGCGTCTTGAAGGATACAACAACTTGCCAAGTTAAAAAAAAAACCTTCAGTTATCCTCGAGATTGATAAGATACAAGCATACCTATAGTATAATAACTGAAGCGGTTTAATTTATTTTCAAAGACCTATAGTTATAAACTAAAATTGGGGTCCTGCTGTATATCTGTTTGGCGTAACATGTAAACTAAAAAAAAAATGTTAGCATTGAGACTCAGGAGGTAAGAATTGTGCCGTCACATGACTAGAAAACTGAATCAAAAAACGGACGCCAAAAGCAGACCAACATAGAATTAGAAGCCACCCGAAAACACTGTACTGGTTTAATTTGAAACCAGGAGTAGTCAAGGCTGGTTTTAGATCCCTCATAATCCGAAAATTTTGCAGGGGAGCCCAAATTCATTCCTAGCATATAACAATATGCTAGGCGGCCGCCTGGCATATAACTTACCACCTAGTTAATCATGTAAATAGATAGGCCGAATTCATAATAAAAAATTACTTGATACTAGTAATAGGATAATAGACACACTGCAATGGCGAGTTATTTGCACGTTGGGGCAATAATTTCGTAGATTGTTCGTATGCAAACACAACGTGTTCACGGCGCACACATTGAGCTGTAACAGATACAACAAATAAGACTGGGTCGCCACCGGACTGAAAAGGAAACCGCGCGATGAGCTCTCTTTCGGACAAAGCTCTTGAATGCGGCCCGATTAATTATTCCGGCATGCCATACGCGGCCCGGGCCCGCCTTTATGAGCGTGCACTTGCGATGGTCCCCTCAAAAAGGCCACTGAATATTCAGACTGAGGTACAGAGAAGCTCGTGCAAAGCGACTTGGCAACGAACCTTAAGTCAACATCAGCACGGATCCTCTTATCCCTTACATCAAAATCGGAGATTAACTTATCTTCGCATTTCGTTCGTACTAGCTGTTAATTTTGACCATAATTTTTTTGCCGCTGCGCCGGCGCTCATTGGGGTGGCTAAAGCTCTAGCTCGATGGCTAGAGCGTCGGGCGCGTATCTGGGGACGCAGGTTCAAATCCTCGCATCGGTAAAAAAACTTTCTTTTATTTTTCATTTTTCTACATATTTTTACTACTAAGTTCGTTGCGGTGGTCCGACAGAATTTCAAGTTTCGCCTCAGACATTTTACATTTATAATGAGATACTGAATGATGCTGGTGCCAGCGGCGCGAGCGCATGAACTACGGGCGTTTAAGGGCGCAATTTTAATATTTATAAGGAATAACGGGTTGAGCGAGACATTAAACTTTCGCGAACAACCGATCACACCAAGCTTTATTCAAAATGCACAAAGCTCCGTGGGACGGGAGAAAAAATTCAATTGAGTGAACCTTTAAAATAATCCTTATTTCGCAAAACGGTATGCGGTTTTGCGCTTGTGACGCATGATGTTGACCAGTGTTTTATTCTCGGCCCATTCAACAGTACCATCAAGGGCTGCGGTTCGGCTTTATATTTAAAACACGTATCGGCGCAAATGGGTTCGATATGGCCCGACATCGAATACTTGTTTGCGCTGCGACCTTGTCCGCGCGACCAATACGGAAACTGTCGCGTTTAAATCCTTTTTTTTTTTTACAAATAATACAAATCAATATAATTAATGCACTAGGGCCGCGCAAGTCTTCGCCGTTTCAGGTATGGGCAGGTCCGTGAAACGGCCTGACAGATGAGCGTGAATTGTTTTGCTTTTTGTTTCGTCTTGCGCCTGAGGTGACCGCGGCCCACTTGTTATAGGTCGTCGTCAAATCTGTTGCAGGTCCTCAGATGTGCATGGGTGGCGATTATAACTTAACATCAGGTGAACTGCCAACTCGCGTGCTAACTTCTTGCATAAAAAATTGTCAGAATTATGCAAACCCATTAGATTCAGTAGAATAACGGCAGGCAGTAGCCTGCACCACGTGTCACTTTTTAGTAATTACAAGGAATGTTAACTTCAATCAAATGTTGACAGTGGGTATCTTATTTTAGTCACTCTCACCAAAATGTGCATTTAGAGGGAAGACGGTATCGATACTTCCGATTATTCAGCGGCTAATAGGAATGTTTCTCTCGAACCCTATCGAGAATCCAGATTACTGTGTACGGCAATTCTACTACATTCTACTACAATATGTGATAGCTCATTTTGCGGGCGCTCGCTGTTAATTCAATATAGCAACCTGAGTTAGAAACCCAGTGCCGGCATCAAATTTTAATTGCTTGTTTAGCGTAAAGGAAAACATCGTGACCACTGTATGTTTTCGAAATAAAAATCCGCCAATCCGAAGTACAGAATCTCTGTACAGAAAGAAGAGGCTTTGCCCAGCAGTGATACATGGGTTGTTACTTTACTTCTACAACACCATGGTCTCGTATTTTAGTCACCTTTACTAAAATGTTGTGCCTGTTGAAAGAGGACGGAAGTCCCGATTATTGTCCCGATAGTCCCGATTATTAAGTGCTTAATAAGCATCTATCTGTTTCGCGTCAACCTATATCGACAATCCCAATCAGTGTGTACGGAACTGTACTCACATCTCTGACCTCTCTTTGAGTGAAGATTTTTGCAGTCTACAATGGAGACCAGCAGTGAGTTCCGTTACTTCTCTACGTTCTGTTAAAACTGGAATGTGACAACGGAATAGTTTACCCTTTATCGACGACATTGTTTCGCTCTATCTCGAATTGACGACTAAGTTCGTGGAGTTATGCGTTCTCGCTTCATTTTTACCTTCGTTTATCGCTACGAAGGTGGAACTGTCGCTTGCTTAGGTGGTGAAAGTGTGCGCTGCCCGTTGTTGCATTAATATTCGTCTTTAATCGAATTTCCACGACGGGGATCCACTTTCTTTACGGTATGTCATGGTAACTGATTTCAAAATGACTTATGCCCTTATTTATAGATAAGCAAATTGGTTTATATTTATGTACTATTTCCTGCGCAAATGCCGCGATATTCTTTTTGAAATGAGAACAATAGATTTTTAAGAAGTCAATAGTTACCAGTTTGTAATCTACATTCAAAATTTAAATCAAACCCGTACAAGCGATGCGTGTATTTGGAAAAGAGACTTAACATACTCACATACATTCTTTCACATTAGCGCGATGCGGTATCATTAATGAGGCATCTCTGGCTAATAAAATTTTTTTTCGTACAGCTTCTCGTCGGAATAACGGCTTAGGACAACGGCAGATCGCC